CTGTCCCTGTCCTCAGTCCCAATTCAAAACCCCATCCTCTGTTCTTACCCTTAAGGTCTGTTTCTGTGATGTCTCTTGTTCTGAACAAGCATTGAGATCGTGAGCTACACCTCGTGGTGAAAATTGGTTGCTGCAGAGCATTTCTGCCACTAGATGGAGCCTGGTCAGTTAAACTTCAGCAGGCGAATGTAATTTTAATATGTATTTACAGTACTTGAACTTAATTTATATTGTATTACTTATATATTTTTAAGTTTACTTTGATTTAAAGATTATTTTGTTTATGACTGTAGTCTTACAGACATATTGTGAGTTTTAAGACAAGTGGCTTTTGCTATTCTCACCAACTGTCCATAAGCAGATTGTTTCCTTTCCCCTTCAAGAAAAATGTGGTGGTGCATTTTCCTCACTCCCTCTGTTTGTGAACTTGATTTTCCAAGGACTGCAACAATGCTGTTATAAAGTTAAATCAGAATTAGGGTTTATTTCAGGCACAGGGGAAATCTTGCAACATAAATGCACTTATAAACATGCAAAGAGATGTGGAATCAGAATGGGCAAAGAGATTATTCAGGTTGTCATGACTTAAGAACAAAACGACCGAGGGACCCCAGTTCATCAATATTCATGTTTTATTTTAAAGTGGAGCCCAAATGTCCAAAGTTGGAGTCAGCAGTTTGGAATTCCTTTACGGGGTTTTGAGCCAAATGTCTGTGGCCCCTTAATTTAAGTGAAACGTCGTGAACAGAACTTCTTGCAATTCTGTTGTATTGGGGTTCTTTCTCTTGGAGACAATTGTCTCTGTAGTAGCTTATACCACAATAGTTTAGCATTCCAGCCTCATCAGGAGGAGCATCTGGCTGTTTTTGACTTCTGGGAGGTTTTCATAAGTTTATTGCTAAGACCAGTCACATGGTTAAAGCATTCACCCTTATTTGGCTATTATAACCTTTTATTCCACTTGGGACTGTAGGCATTAGGAATGTGTGATAATTCAATTTGATAATGTTTTAAAGTTTTTTTTCTGCTGAGAAAGGTCCTATGTACCTAACTGTAAGGTGTTTCTTTCATATTTTCTGATTAAGGAATGCCGACATGTTTTACAGTTTCTCAACGTGCATTTTTCCCCCCAAACAGAAATGTCTGTGGGAACCTAACTTTGGCTTTAACATTGATTCCTGTGGGAGACCATGTTTCACTTAAAGTTGCGATTTTCAGGAATGCGCCTATAACTTTAAATGAGAACTTGCTGGACCTGAATAAACTTGATTACCTGTCAGAGAATTACTGTTTTCCCATCATAACCTTTTAACATTATTTGGACCTTCCCATTCAGTTTAACCCGGTCTTTTGTAGTATACTGAATCCACAGGATTGAGGTTTATTTATGACAGTCTTAGGCAATTAGTAGTATTAGGCTTGTAGTATTTGCACTGACACTCTGTCTTGATGATTACACTTCTCCATGTGTGTAGGGCATTCAAGTATGCAGGAAATGTAGAACTAATTATAGTCTGTTCCAAGCTGAGAGGATCACTCACCACTGAAATTATTTTTGGATTTCTGCATAGACCAACTTATATGGACTAAAGCCCCCAATCATTTGAAGGTAGTTTTTCACAGGGACTGCCTATGCCAGGGTAGATGATAGTTTACAATTATATTGGTCAGCTATTATCTAATGGAACGTATCATCAGTCACTGCACAATTCCTTTTGAAAAGCTGTTTACTGAAGTGTCTTTGAGCTGCAGTGTTCATCACTACAATGTTCATACTTTCACCCCACCCTCCCTACCGTTGGTGTCTAGGAATGTAGATCTTATTCCCAGTCAAGTCCAGTCCCTATATATTTTTCCACAGTCATTCCTTTCTTTGCTATTTATTGCTGTAGATAGACAGACAGAATTCTGCTTATGAGATAACATATGTATGTTTATGAAGTATCTGTTCTTGCCCCATACTTTTAAATCCATAGCCACTGCTTTATTAAAATCTCATTCTAGTAATAGTGTCACAATAGGCCATGATGATATCCTCCAATCCATTGGCATTTCTCATACGTTTCATTAGTTTCTTCAGTAAGTTTTATGTATATATTGTTAACTGCCTCTGCATTCTTACATAGGACTTTTAATTTGTGACAGGAATAATGAGCAAATTTTCAATGTATCTTTAAGCGAATTTGCCTATTTCTCTCAAATTGCTATCACCCCCTGCCACTAGACCTCTTTAACATTTTGATTAGAGATACTAGATTTTGTTAAAGGATACAATAATGTCCTGATTGAGTAATTTGCTGATTTTCTGATTTTCAAAAAACAATTGCTTTATCATGTTTCATGCCTAATTTTATTTGCTCCACCTTTTCATGAGAGACTTGCTCAGCGGGAAGGGTATCTCACTAAATATCATCTTGCAATGGTGATGGATCAGAAACCCTGCAACAGAAAAATTAAGAATTTAAATTCAATGACTGGCAGAGTCCTGTATGAATCTCATGGAATGTTGCATGCATGAATTGTCAGGGAAACTTCAAACAGGGAGAAACTTAACCAAAAGAGATGAGGGGGACTGACTACCTCACCACTCTCACCAGAAAGTCGCTTCTTGCAGGCATGTTTGATTTAGCCTCCAGGAAGACACAATAAAAGGGTTTAAAGAGCTTTTGTTAACCTTTCTGGAGTGGAGTAATGAGATTGAATGCTCTTGTTAGTACCAGTTATTTACGGCATTACCGTCTTTTGAAGAAAACAGTGAAAGAACTATCCCATAGTCACCCTGTGTTATGGGTAAAGACATATCTCGCATAGAGTGCTGCAAACCAGTTGAAGAAAAAAGGGATCAGTACAAAGGAATTTCAGTCACCACACACAAAACCATGGAACTCAAAACTCAACTACCAATAACCTTCACTGCGCCAGCCACAAAGTTCAACTAATTACTGTTCAAGAATATTTCAGAGACTGATCTGTATAAATTTTCTAAACTTTTAACTTCATGAACTCATTTTCCATTTCTAATCTGTATTATGCATTACTAATTCTTTTCAAGTTTAGTCATTAATAAACTCACTTTTCGTTAACTCAAAAAAGCCCTGGTTAAGTTGGCTGTATTTAAAACATAAATTCTTTAAGTCTGGGTGAGGGAAGGAATCCTTTTCAAATTAACCTTGTTGCAACCAACCAAAGGGGTTGGTTACTAAAGAAGGAGAGTAAATTCATCCTTCCTCACCCAAGAGCTTGACTGCTCGGGGTATCCTGTCTGGGACTGTAATGCATTGGGGAACCTCGCCCAGGGTCTGGTCATAACCATCTGTACTAATAAAGTGGGGTTACCTCCAACTACTCTATCAGGATTCACACTTCTTTCATTGACTTTAATGTGTTGTCATCTCTGAATTTGAAGCAAATAGAACTTTAATTTTACCTGACCTTACTTTGAGTGAATCCAACTAATATTTGATCCAATCCATACTACGTATTGTGGATGTGTAACTGTTGATCAGCCTAGCGTAGTTAAATGAATCTGACTAGTACCGTCAATACCAGACTTACTCACCTTGTGACTAGCAATTCCTTCAAACTGATCAAAAACATCATCTGATCAAAAACATCATCTGTTTCTGAACCTTGCATGCTGTGCATCACCTCAGAAATACAGTTGTTCCATTTTGGAAAATTTGCCACATATTAATATTTTGAATCAGATCTGAAACACTTGTCAGTAATTCCCCAGATATTCCTAGGGTGGTACTTCTGTTATTATACTCCATTCCTGCCAGATCTGCCGAAAGGATCTCCATCCTCTTTACTTTTGCCTGCAATTCCTTTGTTCTTTTGATATCAGTGCCTCATATCTGCACAGTCTTGAAATGCTGTGAGCGTTGACTCCTCCATCTTCTGAGATTTCAAAATATACATGATGGTGGCTGGAAATTTTGCTTTTCCATGTTTTTTGTTTAAAGTGTCAGACATCTGATCCAGAATCCTTCTAAGAATCTAACTCCAGTTTAGCCCAGGAGCTGATCCACATGCAACAGTTTACCACAGTTCTGCAATTTGAAAACAAACACTGAACGAGGATTTTCCAGATGGAATTTCTGCATTCTCTTATATTCTTTTATATATAATCACAGATTATATATAATCTATGAAACTGCATATATATTCCCTATGGAATGCCTATCACTGTAAATTTAGCAAGGTCTGACCGTGCCACATACTCATTCGATAGAACATCTTTCGTATACATTTCATTCATAAATTTTAATAGATTACTTGAGTAATCACTTATAAACATAGAAAATAAGGGTGGGAGTAGGCCATTCAGCCCTTTGACCTGCTCAGCCATTCAATATGATCATGGCTGATCATCCAACTCCATACTCTGTTCCTGTTTTCTCCTCGTACTTTTTGATCCTTTAGCCCTAAAAACTATATCTAACTCCTCCTTGAAAACTTTCAATGCTTTGGCCTCAAACTCTTTCTGTGGTAGAGACGCAGGCTCACCAAACTCTGGGTGAAGAAATCTTTCCTCATCTCAAACTTAAATGGCCTACCCCTTATCCTTTGACATGAATTATTAATCTTGCTTAGCAGTTTACCCAAACCTTCCTCAGTAGCCACTGATGAGACTGTAGCTCTGAAGATATTTGCACCTTTTTGTTTTGTTTTTTTTTAAATTATTGAGTGACATTACCAGTGCCATACCTTTTTTTTCTGGTTGGTAAGGATGTAACCTGTATCAACAATAGCTGCTTCATGAGATTCAGAGGGAAGTAACATTGGGTGAAATATTCTGGAGAGCCAATGCAGACACAATAGGCTGAGAGACACCTTCTTTACTGCAATTGTTCTATGTTGCCCATTGACCTGAAAATGTTTGATGTGGTTACCTTATCATTGCATTTCATTTTTTGAACTTTACACTGATCAATGGGTGATTTATGCATTCTGTGATATTTCCTCTATAATATACGCTGCTCAATGTCTATTTACAGGGATATGAGGATTGGCTTCGGCATAAAGCAGACAACGCAGTAAATAACTGTCCTGTTCACGTCATCCAGGATGGCAAAGTAGTTCAAAAACAGAGCAGAAAATTGCAGGTAAAAAAAAAACTGCTTAGGCATCTCTTCAGGTGGTGGGGTGCGTTAGAATTGATGTGGGAGGGTTTGGTTCGAATGGGCAATGCAGGATTTGCTTTTGATAAAAATGTTCATAAAATTGCTGCAGGTTGGAGACATTGTAATGACCAAGGAGAATGAAACTTTTCCATGTGACATGGTCTTCTTGTCTTCGAGCAGTGATGATGGAACATGTTTTGTCACTACAGCCAGCCTAGATGGTGAATCAAGTACTAAGGTAATAAACAGAACAGCTGTATTCTTGCTGCAGAAGCCAGCCTGAGATAGGTGTCTCTCATTTCAATAGTTATAATCCACTCTTAATGTAATTCACTTAGCTGCTTGTTCCACTTCACTCGTGTCTGCTCTGTTCAGAATAATGCTCAAAAATTACTGTTGTTTGCCAATTTTCCTATTCTTCCTGAAGATGCAGTACATTGGCAGATTCACAACTGAGTATAATCCTGTCATTGCACACATGAGCAGTGATCAAGAGCAGGAGTCTCACACTCCAAGAGAAGAGACTTACTTGGCCCATTTGACTTTGTAATCTCATGTAGTTTCACTACTCACCTCGTGTCAACCACAGCTAATCTAATGCTTCACCCCTGCCCCTTACCAAACTCCTCTCCATCTGTATATACCTCTCCACCTCCATCTGTATCTGAAAGAAAAGCTCTTCAACTTCACTTACAAACGCACGCTAGTGGTCTAATTGTTACCCTTTCCTTTAGCATGACATTTCGGCAATTGCTAATCCAATGAAACATTCTCACCTCCAGCTTTGATGCCATAGATCCCATTAAAACATTACTGTTTTTAACTCTGGCCATACCCCTGAAACAACCTTCGTTGCTGCTCATATAAGTTCACAGACCTGAAAGGATATCATGGCTAACTAGTTTAGCTGGATTTGGATAGACCACTAAAGCACTATTTTGCCTATTCTAATCTGCCAATACTTTTCACTGTTACAGCATCATGCTGAAATGCAAAGATAACCCCTGATTTCTTTTCTCAATTGTCAATCATCTTAACTTCCCATCTCTTTTACCCTCACCACTCCCAAATGAGAGCAGCTCATTGATTTCTTTGTAAGTAAGATTTAGAACATCCAATCTGCTGCCGCTTTCATCCTGTGTGCCCATTAGGGCCAACTTTTTCCTAAAGATATCCCCAGCACTTGTGCTTAGCTTGCAATTTTTTTCTGATCTCTCTTGCATATTTCTCTATCTTCTCCTTGACATACATTCCTACTCCTTTGACCCTATTCCTACTAAATTGCTGACCACTCAACGTCCCTTTCTAACTGCATATGGTTAGCTGATGATCAGCTGTTCTGTCTGTTCGGTTTCAGGTTCTTCAAATCTGTCATCATCACACTTCTCCTAAAAATTTTAACCTCTGACCACTTTAATCTACCAACTCACATCTAACTTCCCCTTCCTCTCCAGTTTTTAATTTGCGTAGAAACATGGGAAATATGGGGAAGAAGTAGGCCATTCAGCTCTATCTCATGTTTCTGCTCTCTTCTCATTCCACTTGACATTTTTAGCTTCTAAAAAATGTTTTTTTTCCCGGTTGCTTCCACAGCCTTATTCTTCTCATCTCCGTCCAAAATGAACTACTACGTATCCTGACACTGTGACCCCTTGTTCTGGACTCCCCAGCCAGGGGAAACATCAGCTCAGTCTCTGATCTGTCCAGCCCTGTCAGAATGTTATGTTTCAATGAAATCCCTAAAATCTTTTAAATCCAGTGAATGCAGGCCCAGATTACCCAATTTCCTGCCATCTCATGAATCAATCTGGTGACCTTTTGCTGCACTTGGCAAATATACTTTTCCATAGGTAAGGTGACCAAAATGGCTCATAATACTCCAGGTGTGGGCTCACCAAGGCTTGATGCACCTGCATGCTTGTTTTCAATTACAACTGTCCAAGGACACCCCGATCCTTTTTTACATCAACATTTCCCAATAGATCACCATTCTGTTTTTCCTACTGAAGAAAACAACTTCAAATTCATCCATGTTATACAGCAACTTCTATATTTTTGCCAGCTTACCTCAAAATCGCCCTGAAGCCTCTCTATGTCCTCCTCACCACTCTCATTCCCAGGTAGTTTTATAGTTTTGTAACTTGTAAATATTGCACTGATTCCCTCATCGAAGTTATCACTAATTGTGAATAGCTGGAGCCTGAATAGCTGGAGCCCAAATACTGATCCCTACAATATCTTACTTGTCACCATCTTCCACTCCAAAAAAAATCCTATTTATTCTTATTCTCGTTTTCCTGTCTCTTAACTGATTCTCAATCCATGCCAGTATATTACTCCCAATCCCGTGTGTATTGATTTTGCACAATAACATCTTTTATGGGACTTCATCAAAAGCTTTCTGAAAATCCACTCCTGAGGCTCCCCTGATCTCTTCCACTATTTACCTTCTCAATAAACCTCCCGTAGGTTTGTCAAATCAGATTGCTTTCTATAGATTCATGTTGACTTTGTGTAATCATGTTGATATTTTTTAGCTGCTTTGTTCACGCGTCCTTTATAACATCCTAACTCTTCACAAATCCATGGCCATCTTTCCCCGAACCATGGGTTGAATTTACTGTTTCCAGTCCTGACTCACTTCCTGCCCCAGAACTCAGGTGTGCAAGCTGTAGGATTTCAAGCCCTATGCTCCTGGAAAATGCCACGTAAGGGACTGCGAACTGCCTGTGGAAGTGGAAGTGCCAGTCAGAGCTGAGGTGAATGAGGAAGGAGTGGGCAGCACAAGATGGAGAAACCACAGTTCGTTTTTTTTTTGTTGGCGCGTTTATGTCACTGGCAAACAGCATTTGTTGCACCATTCCAATTGACCTGAAACTGAGTGGCTTTTCATTTCAATGAGCAAGTTGGCCAGGTCAGTTTCAGATGGCAGATTTCCATCTGTAAAGGGCATTAGTAAGCTAGATGAATTTTTACAATTGAACTCCTCTCTGTACTTCCCTAATATCCTTTCCATTTCTCTTTCTATATTCCTCTTGGCTTTGTGGAGTATTAAGCCTCAGTATCAGATTTGGGCTTTCCCCTTTATTTGCCTTATCCTACACTGTATATACTTTTGCTTCAATGTAAAATGATAAAATAAAGTCTTTGTATTACCTTTGTCAATTTTCTGTGAACAAAATAAGGTAACTGTTGCATTTGTAGTGGCTGGCTTCCAGACTATGATTGTAGCAGTTTTTCTTTACACATTTCAGGTGCACAGCTTTTAATTCTGTAAATCACATTCTGGTTTAAGACCAGAAAATCTGATTTTGAGCTAAAGTTTCCTAAAAGCAGTGTTGTCGGGTGATGTACTGTGACATTTAACACTGTTTTTCTCTCCCCACAGATGTTATCTGACCTGCTTGAGCATTTCCAGAATTTTCTATTTTTATGTTTTCTTTTTACATCTTTTTTACATATCACATCATAATTGTTAACCACTGTGTAACCATCAATACTTGTAATGTTACTCAGTGTATTTAATTGGTAATGTTTTGTGCCAAGAATTTTGGATTTGCATTCTGATCATGCAGCATTCAAACCATTTGACATGATGGTTACTTTTTAGAGTCACGTATGACTGATCTTCTCACAATTATTCCCTGCTGATTGAGCAAGCCAGTGACTGAATGTTACACAGTGCAGCAACATAGTTGAGGAAAATTTTGGATAGAATTTTTACCTCAGGCAGGCCCAATGTCAGACAGCAGACATTTCAGATTCACATTTCTTCCTACAGACTTATCAAGCTGTTCAAGATACGAAAGCTTTGCGAACTGAGGCAGAAGTGGACACCTTGAATGCCAGCATTGAATGTGAACAGCCGCAGCCTGATCTTTACAAGTGAGTCTCAGAATGGATGTCAAATCTCAGTGCAGGCAAGGGTTGGTGTGTGTCTGTTCTTGCCCAGACCTACAGTAACTTTCGTATCCTGTTGTTGGATTACTTAGTGATGTTTGGAATGTTAATCTGACAACTTGAAGCTCATGTTCTCATTTGGTTAATAAGCTGCTGCTCTGGTTATTGATCTCTCAGTTCATACACTCACACACTGCAGCATTATTGCACACTTTTCAAATGACATTCCACCTGCATATGATTATATAACATTTTACTACATTCCAACAAGTCAAAACTCTTTATACCTCCTCTTCCTGTAACCTTTTATATCTTGCTCAGTCTAATTCTGCTCTCCTGATCACTTTCCGTACCTTTTTAATTTCCCACCCATTTAAACCTACTGATCTGCTCTTACCCAACATCCTCTGACAAACTACCTGGTGTAATCTCTGTCACTTTCCCACTCCCTATCTTTTTCCAGAATTTTTTTGAAGACAAATTAGTGTCTAACTTGGTTGTGTTTTTGATAAGAGAGCAGAGAGCGTTCATGAGAGTAATGCAATTGATGTGGTCTACCTGGATTTACGAAAGGTGTTTAATACAAAAAAAATTGTCACATAATTGGCTTGCCAGCAAAGTTGCTCCTCATTGTATAAAAGGTATACTGACAACTATTAGTAGCTAAAGGAATACAAAGTTAACTGAGTGAGAGGAAATATGGAATAGTGGTGAATAATTGCTTTTTGGTCTGGAGCAACAGCAACCTGTATATAGTACTTCGATGTGATGAAACATTCCAAGACGTTTCAAAGGAGCATCACAAACCAAAATGACATTGAACCATACAAGGAGACAAAAGGTCAGAAGTGTGGCCAAAGTAGGTATTATGGAGTGACTTAAAGGAGGAAGGTGAAGCGTAGATGGAGCAAGGTATGCAGCCAGACCTCCCCCACCCCCAGAGGCCAACACCATTATGCTGCTTTTCTTGATATATATTAACATACTAGATGGGTGTACAAGATTAAATTCAATATGAGCAGGTGACACCAAACTTGGAAATATTGTGAACTATAAGGAGAATAGTCATAGACTGCAAGACAACATGGACAGTTTGATGTAATAGACAAACGTGAGGCAGATTAAATTTAACACAGAAATGTGCGATGTGTAACATTTTGGTAGCAAAAACAAGGATATGCAACATAACTCAAGGGTATAATTTCAAAGAAGTTCAGAAACAAGAGAGACCTGAGTGTATTTCTGCACAAATCATTGAAGATGGCAGGTTGTGAAAGTGATTTAAAATAAAAGCTTATGGGATCCTTGACTATATAAATAGATGCATAGAGTGATATACGAAAGACATCAGGATGACTCTTTATTAAAAGGTATTTGGCTCAGCTGGAGTTTTTTTTAAAAATTCATTCATGGATGTCAGCGTTGCTGGCAAGACTATTGCTCATCTATAATTGTCGTTGAGAAGGTGGTGATGTGCTGCCTACTTAGCCCGCTTTTATCCATCAGGTGAACGTACAACTATTGTTCTGTTTGGAAGGAAATTCCAGGATTTTAACCTGGCGACAGTGCTAAAATGATAATGTAGTTTCAAGTCAGGATGGTGTGTGGCTTGTAGGGAAACTTGTAGGTGGTAGTGTTCCAAAGAATCTGCTAATGTTGAACACAAACAAAGTTGATGGAAAAGCCCAGCAGGTCTGGCAGCATCTGTGAAAGAAAAAACAGAGTTAATGTTTCGGGTCTGGTGACCCTTCCTCCTTTCTGAGGAAGGGTCACCGGACCCGAAATGTTAACTCTAGTTTTTCCTTCACAGATGCTGCCAGACCTGCTGGGCTTTCCCATCAACTTTGTTTGTGTTCCTGATTTACAGCACCTGCAGTTCTTTCAGTTTTTATCTGCTAATGTTGTTCTTTTGGATGATAGGGGTACCGGTTTGTCATTGAGGGAGACTTGTTGTGCTGCTGCGGCGCATTATATAAATAGTATATCTGCTACCAATGTGTGCCTATGGTAGATGGAGTGAATGTTTAATGTGGTAAATAGAGTACTGATCAGTTAGGCTGCTTTATTCTAGACTGTGTTGAACTCCTTTAGAGTTGTTGGTACTGCAATCTATCAGATAACTGGGGAGTATTCATTCACCTTACCTGACCACTGCCTTGTCAATGTTAGAAAGGAGATCTATTTAGGAGATCATTTATTTACTCACCACAGAATTCTCTAGCCTCTGACTGTTCTTGTAGCCACGGTATTTATCTGACTGCTCCAGCAATTCCTTGTTAATGGTAATCCCCAGGATGTTGATATCGGGGGATTCAGCGATGATTATGTCATTAAATGTCAAGGTTAGATACTCTCTTTTTGGTGGTATTCATTGCCTGGCACTTGTATTGTGTGAAGTTTATTTGCCACGTATCAGGATAAGCCTAAAATTTGTCAAAATCTCTCTCAATTTGGAGTAGGGCTGCTTCAGTATCTGAGAAGCCACAAATGGTGCTGGACATCTGACTTTATGTTGGAAAGGAGGCTATTGACAAAGCAGCACAAGACGGCTAGGTCTTTAACACTGTCCTGAAAAACTTGTCTTGGGGCTGAGATGATTGGCTTACAATAGCCATCTTTCTTTGTGTTCCAAACAGCATTGAGTTTTACCCCTAATTCCCATTGGTTCCATTTTGCTAGGGTTCCTTGATATCACACTTGGTCAAAAGCTGCACTGGTCAAAGGCAGTAATTCCTGCCTCACCTCTGGAGTTCACCTCATTTGTCCATGTTTGGAAAATGTCTGTAGTCAGTCAAAAGCTGAGTGCTTCTGACCCAAACCAAACTGAGCATCATTAGCAGGGTTATTGCTGGGTAAGAACCACTGGAGTCTTCTGTGCAGTGTTATGAGGTGGGCACCTCATTTTTAAGTCAGCCTGGTGCTGCCCCTAGCATGCTATCCTACAGCCCTTATTAAGAAGGGTTGATCCCTAAAGCTTGAACAGAATCATTGAGTGAGTGATATTCTAGGCCATGTCATTACAGATTGTGGTTGAATACCTTCCTGCTTGCAGGCACACAGTGGGCTCATGGATGCTCACTTTTGAGATGTTGAATCCATCTATTTAGTATGGCCATGATACCAGATAACGCATTGGACAGTATTATTAGTGTGAACATTGGACTTGCCTCCACAAGGTTTCTACAGTGGCCACTGCTTCCTGTACTCACTTTTGTCCTCCATTTTTGAAATTATTTTGTTAAGTTCCATTCTGTCTCTTGTTTTCATATCTGTGCTTTAAGAGAGCTACTTATTATTTTGCATTTACTCTAGACCCATGCTTTTTTTTTGCTACAACTGTTACCACTCTCTTTGCATTTTATTTCATGACGTCTTTGTCATTTATCACACCCACCCATTATCTCATCCCAAACCTTTCCTTTTCATCTATCTTCCTGACTCCTTGTCCCCTTTCAACAGGATAAAAACCACGACCTTCCCCCGATGTAGGAAAGATGTTGTTAAACTTGAAAGGGTTCAGAAAAGGTTTACAAGGTTGTTGCCGTGATTGGAGGGTTTGAACTATAGGGAGAGGCTGAAGAGGCTGTGGCTTTTTTTTTACCTGGAACGTTGGAGCCTGAGGGCTGAGCTTATAGAGGTTAATAAAATCATGAGGGGCGTGGACAGGCTGAATAACAAAGATCTTTTCCCCAGTGTAGGGGAATCCAAAACTAGAAGGCATAGGTTTAAGGTGAGAGGAGCATGGTTTAAAAGGGACCTAAAGGTCAACGTTTTCACACAGAAGGTGGTACATGTATAGAATGAGCTGTCAGAGGAGGTCGTGGAGGTGGGTATGATTACAGCATTTAAAAGGCATCTGGATGGGTACATGAATGGAAGGGTTTAAAGGGCTAATTCGGACTGAAAGCTCTGTTTCCGTGCTGTATATCTCCGTGACTCTATGACTCTATAAGTCATTTCAACTCATAATGTTAACTGATTTTTGCTCTGATAGGTGGTGCCAGTCCTACTGAGTTGTTTGAGCACTTTCCAGTTTTATATTGGTGATAGAGATGCTTGGGATATTGCCTGTAGCTCAGACTATTGCTTGCGCAGTCTGTTGGACAGTTCTGCCAGTTTTGTAAGGAGTCCCAAGACGTTGGTAAGGTGGACTTTTTAGAGTTAACTGCTCTGGGTGTGTTGTTATTGTTCCTATTGTCTAGGTTGATGTTGGGCCATTGATCCGGTTTCATACTTTTTCAACTTCCCCATAGTGCTTGGCACAACTGAATGATATTTCAGCTGTGGATAAGAATTGACCACATTGTGTGGGTCTGACGGTTACCATTATTGAGATTCGCTCTCAATTCCAGGATTAATTTAAATTTCATACTTCAGGCTACAATGAATGGTGATGGATGATTTGGCCAGTAGTCCCATCGTGTCACTTGTCACCCCAGTCTTTTCAAAGCCAAGCTGTTGGCTCAGAATACCCTGTGTAATGTAATTCTTGAAGACTCTTCAACCTCCTGTGAACCTCAGGGGTCCTCCAGTTATTGTACTCCACTTATTGAAGCACGTAGTTGACTGGGAACATTTTGAAAACAGTGTCAGTTGCCAAGTGAGTCTATTAAATAAAGGCAGTGGTAAATGTGACCATCCCAGCTCCACTCACTATAGCAGAGAGAGGATGCAACAATGGCAACTGTTTAGATGCCAACAATCTGGAAATCTCTCAGAATTGGGACTCATTCTTTCAAACTGCACAAACCACTCAGTTAATGGCAACACTTGGAATGTTTTTTTATCTGCAGTTTTGTTGGCCGGATCAATATTTACCATGAGACAGAGGAACCCATTGCAAGGTAGGTGTAATTCAGTTCATCTTAACTGTCAACATTTAGTGTCTATTTTTAGATTTATTTTTGCTATTTAATAATATTCCTGTGTAGTAAAAGTGTCAACAATTGTGTTGCAAAATGGCATATGAAGATCAGAAATTCCTTCAAATCAAAGACAGGAACAGTATCCATGAGATGGACTGTCTGCCCTGCTTAAGATGATCTCTCCCCTTCCTTTCACCTGACATGAGATGGGTTCTCTTTAAATCGCTTACCGTAATTTAGAGAAAAATAAACTGTACACCATGCCCACACATCACCTACTAGCTTATCTAATATATGCCTGTGGACTTCAGGTCTTTCATCTTGCTGTCTCCTCCTCCTTCTCTTGGAACACTTATTGTTCTGTTAGAAACCAGAACAGCACCTCTTCCCACACTGCACCACATTCCTTGGAGTTAAGTGAGTATCCTGTTCAGCCATACTCCTTCCAGCTGAACTTTGTGCATAAGCAAAACCTTACACATTTATAGTGGCTGAAATTTTAGGGACCTGAACAAGGCAATGCTGACCAGAGAATTAGCTCTAACTAGCCAAACTAGTTGTAAAACTGCCATTAACCCTCAGCTTGTTGACCACTGACTAAAACTGGAGAAAAAAAACACAATCCCTCAGTCACCAAATTCCCAAATCTATCAAGCCAGACTTTGCGCTACTTCATTCTATGTGCCATATTTTGCTCATTCAGTTAACATGTCTAACTCCTTTTACAGCCTCTTTAGCTTATTTTCGCTTATTTTCACATCTAACTTTGTGCTGTCAGCAAACTGAACATACTAGACTCTTCATCTTAGTCATTTGTTCTAGATGGTAAATAGCTTAGGCTCAAGTTCTGATCCTTGTAATATCTCAATAGTTAATGCCTGCCACCCTGAAAATGGCCTATTCATCCCTACTTTCTACTTTAAGTTTGTTAACCAATAGTTGGTCTGTGCACAAAAATTGCCCCAATATCATGAGCCTACTTTGTGTGATAACTCATTGTATGGCATTATTGAAAGCTTTTTTGCAAATTTAAATGCACTGCTTGCTCTTTATACATATTGTTTATTTCATCCACAAAAAGTTCTTAAATGGTTTATCAAATATGATTTCCTTTCATAAATCCATGTTTTAAGCTAAATATGTTATGACTTTCCAGGTGTCCTGTTATCATGTCCCTAATATGTCCTCATAGTAAATGTTCTGTTTACTCCTCACTGCATCGTGATGATCCACCTACCTTTTACTGATGGATCTGCTGTCTTTTATGCCCTTGTCTATCTATCAATGCTCTACCCTTACCCTTTACCCACCAAAGTATTTTAACATAAAAGATGTAACTTCCTGTCATCCCATTGAATGCAGGACTGGCCCTCCTCTGCCTGTCTAGTTTAGCTCTTATATGCTGCTCTACAGAACCCCTTTAGGTGAAGTGCAGACTAACTGGAGATCTTGACTGGCTTGAGGCCTTAAGAATCAACTAATACTCATCATAAAAACTGCAGTTATTGATGGCCTTATTTCCTCAATGATTTTTAACTTTATTACAGGCCGTTGGGATCAGAGAATGTGCTGCTGAGGGGAGCAACATTAAAAAATACCCAAAGTATTTATGGTAACAACTATGTTTGAAACCTCATTGCATCAGTTAGCTTGTGTGCTTGTTTATCATCAGTGTGAAAAAGCTGGACATTATTAATATGTGCAATGATACTGCTTAACAAAAAACATGAAAAATCTGAAGACTTGGTGAAAATCTTGATGGTTCATCACCCAGCTGGGAGTATTTGTACTGATAAACTAGTTAATGACATGAAGTTTATAATAGGGTTCACATGTTCTTGGTTGGAATAATGTCCAAGTTTACTTTGTAAATTTCCCATTGATGGAATTTAAATAATATTATATTTTCAAACTTCATCGGTAAAATTATAGGTTGTTGAAATAATTTCTAACTGTAGAAAACTGCAAATGTAACACCTTTATTCAAGAATGGAAGGAGACAGAAAGTAGGAAGCTATAGTCCAGTTAGTGTAGCATTGGTTATTGGAAAATTGTTCGAGTTTGTTTTGAAGGTGGTAGTAGCAAGACATTTGGAAAATTGTAATACAATCAAGTAGGGCCACCATGTTTTTGTGGAAGATGAATGATGTTGAGAAATTTGTTTGTTTTTTGATGATGTAACAAACTGGTTGGATAAAAGCAAATAAGCAGATATGTGTGAAGCCTCCAACCTCATCGTTCCCCAACCTCGCACTGCCCGCTTCTATCTCCTTCCCAAAATCCACAAACCTGAATGCCCTGGTCGACCCATTGTCTCCGCCTGCTCCTGCCCCACCGAACTGATCTCCAACTATCTCGACTCCATTTTCTCCCCCTTGGTCCAGGAACTCCCTACCTATGTCCGTGACACCACCCCCGCCCTCCACCTCCTCCAGAACTTCCAATTCCCCGGTCCCCAACACCTCATCTTTACCATGGACGTCCAGTCCCTCTACACCTGCATTCCCCATGCAGATGGCCTTAAGGCCCTCCGCTTCTTCCTGTCCCGCAGGCCCGACCAGTCCCCCTCCACTGACACCCTCATCCGCTTAGCCGAACTCGTCCTCACACTCAACAACTTCTCTTTCAATTCCTCCCACTTCCTACAGACAAAGGGGGTAGCCATGGGTACCCGCATGGGCCCAAGCTATGCCTGCCTCTTTGTAGGTTACGTGGAACAATCCCTCTTCCGTACCTACACCGGCCCTAAACCCCACCTCTTCCTCCGTTACATTGATGACTGTATCGGCGCCGCCTCGTGCTCCCACGAGGAGCTCGAACAGTTCATACACTTCACTAACACCTTCCACCCCAACCTTAAGTTTACCTGGACCATCTCTAACACCTCTCTCCCCTTCCTGGACCTCTCTGTCTCCATATCGGGCAACCACCTCGAAACCGATATTCATTTCAAGCCCACCGACTCCCACAGCTACCTAGAATACTCCTCCTCCCACCCACCTTCCTGCAAAAATGCTATCCCCTATTCCCAATTCCTTCGCCTCCGCCGCATCTGCTCCCAGGATGATGCATTCCACTCCCGTACATCTCAGTTGTCCTCGTTTTTCAAGGACCGTAACTTCCCCTCCTCGGTGGTCGAGAACGCCCTCAACCGTGTCTCCCACATCTCCCGCACCTCATCCCTCACACCCCGTCCACGCAATAAAAACCAAAAAAGAATCCCCCTCGTCCTCACGTACCACCCCACCAACCTCCGGATCCAACGCATCATCCTCCGACACTTCCGCCATCTGCAATCCGACCCCACCACCAAAGACATCTTTCCCTCCCCACCTTTATCTGCTTTCCGGAGGGACAACTCTCTCCGTGACTCCCTTGTCCGCTCCACACTCCCCTCCAGCTCCACCACACCCGGCACTTTTCCCTGCAACCGCAGGAAGTGCTACACCTGCCCCCATACCTCCTCCCTCACCCCCATCCCAGGCCCCAAGAAGACTTTCCACATCAAGCAGATGTTCACCTGCACATCTGCCAATGTGGTATACTGCATCTGCTGTACCCGGTGTGGCTTCCTCTACATCGGGGAAACCAAGCGGAGACTCGGGGACCGCTTTGCAGAACACCTACGCTCGGTTCACAATAAACAACTGCACCTCCCAGTCGCGAACCATTTCAACTCCCCCTCCCATTCCTCAGACGACATGTCCATCCTGGGCCTCCTGCAGTGCCACAACAATGCCACCCGAAGGTTGCAGGAACAGCAACTCATATTCCGCTTGGGAACCCTGCAGCCCAATGGTATCAATGTGGATTTCACAAGTTTCAAAATCTCCCCTCCCCCCACCGCATCCCAAAACCAGTCCAACTCGTCCCTGCCTCCCTAACCTGTTCTTCCTCCCACCTATCCCCTCCTCCCACCTCAAGCCGCACCTCCATCTCCTACCGACCAACCTCATCCCGCCCCCTTGACCTGTCCGTCCTCCCTGGACTGACCTATCCCCTTCCTAACTCCCTACCTACACTCACCTTTCCTGGCCCCATCCCCGCCTCTTCGACCTGTTTGTTTCCTCTCCACCTATCCTCTCCTCTATCCCTCTTCTATCCGCCTCCCAGTCTCTCCCTATTTATTTCAAAACTCCCTTCCCCTCCCCCTTTTCTGATGAAGGGTCTAGGCCCGAAACGTCAGCCTCTCTGCTCCTATGATGCTGCTTGGCCTGCTGTGTTCATCCAGCCCTGCACCTTGTTGTCTCGGATTCTCCAGCATCTGCAGTTCCTACTATCTCTGAAGCAGATATGTGTGTTTAGTTTTTCAAATGACATTTAATAAGGTGCCACATAACAAGTTACTAAGCAAAGTATAAGCTCATGGTGTTGTGAATGATATATTAGCATGGATTTGGGGTTGGCTAACTAACAGGAAAAAGACAGTTGGAGTAAATGGGTCAATTTCAGGTTGGCAAAATCAAACCGCTAGAGTGATGTAAGGATCAGTGCTAGGACCTCATCTTTGCAAATGATATTAATAGCTTAGATGAAGGGACTGAGAGTATTGCAGCCAAATTTGCTGACTGTACATTGACAATTGGAATGCAAGTTGTGAGGGGACACAAAGAGTCAGCAAAGTGTTATTAAAAGTTAAAGTAACTGGGAAAAGATCTGGTAGTTGGAATCTAATTTGGGAAAATGTAACCTTTTATCCACTTTGTGGGGAAGATTAGAAATACAGAATATTATTTGAATGGACTGCATAATATTGCTGTACAGAGAGATGTAGATGTCCTTGTACGTGAATCACAAAAAGTTAGCATGCTGGTATAGCAAGTGATTAGGAAGATAAATGGAATGTTGGCCTTTATTACAAAGAATTTGGAGTATAAAAGTAAGGGTATTTTACTGCAGCTGTACAGGTTGTTGGTGAGATCACACCCAGAATATTGCATACAGTTTTGGACTCCTTACAAGGGAGGGATAGACTTCCATTGGAGAGTGTAGCTAGAAGATTCACTACACTGATTTCTGGGATGAGAAGATTGTCTTTTAAGGAAAGATTAGCAAGTTGTACCTAGGTTCATTGGAGTAAGAAGATTGAGAGCTGATCTAATTGGAACACACAAGATCCTGATGGATGGACACTGAGGATGCTTTCCATCCTGAAAGAATCTGAAACAATGAGAAACAGTCTAAAAATAATATGTCTCCCTTTTATAATGAAGCTGAGGAGTAATGTCTTCTCTCACAGTGCAGTAGAGGCTTAGGTAGGGAGTTTTTTGATTTACAACAGAGTTGAATGTTATAGGATTCAGACAAAAAAAAACTGAGTGAAGGTCTCAACCACAACAGTCATAATCTTATTGACTGTCAGGGCAAGGTCAAGATGCCTAATGGCCTACTCTTTCTTGTTCCTATTTCTTCTGTTCTTACTTTTAAAATCTGGTGCAGTAATTGTCAGAAGTAATTATCAGTTTTGTGTGACTTTATGTTTGAATTTGTGTAATACTTCTTGTTACTGATGCTGCATTCTTTTGCTCATGTTTCAGGTGTGGCGATATACACTGGTATGGAAACTAAGATGGCATTAAATTACCAATCCAAGTCACAGAAACGTTCAGCTGTAGAAAAGTGAGGTTTTGTTGACTTTGTTACTCAGAATCTATGACGTTGAAACTAATAGTAACTTATAAAATGATGCCAAATCAAATTTGTCTGTGCTATAAGGGCAGTTATTCTTTTTAGTATTCCTCTAGCCTGAGATGACCTTTTGTTTTTGGAGAAAATCTTTTGGCTCATGTAATTCGATTTTGAGAAGGCTAAATCTGTTGTCTTGAATCATCACTGGAAACTCAGTTCCTGAGCCGTTGACTCCAAGCAGAATGAGTGTTCACAACTTTGGTATTCAGTTTGATGCTGAACTGAGCTTCCCACCTGATGAAGGGTCCCGACCCAAAACATCTACTTTCTTGTTCGTCTGATACTGCCTGACCTGCTGTGTTCCTGCAGCTCCACACTGTATTGACTTCCCACCTCCTAATCCTGTCCATTGCCAGGACCGCCTATTTCAACCTCCATAAATTCCTGCTTCTCTGTTTTCGTCTGCTGCTGAAATCTTTGTCCATGCCTTAATTGCTTGCAGGCTGCTCTATTCTCATGGGCTGCCTGGCATCCCACCTTCCTTAAACTTTAATGCATCTAAAACTCTCCTGCCTGTTAATAAGAGCATCGACTCCTCTTTGTCCATTGTAGCTTACTAACCTATGTAGACTGTACATCCAACAATGCCTCAACTTCAAAATTCAAATCCTGACTTTCAATTCTCTCCATGGTTTGGCTCCATCCTATCTCAGTAGCTTCTTCCAGCACCACAATCCTTAGACCATTAAACTGTTTAGTGTTTTTCTATTAAAGAGACCAATAGACATGTTTCATAAAAAAAGGAGCTTGATGGATATGGACTGAGATTATTGCATAGATAGGGACGTATAATGAGATATTGCCGAGTAGCCTGAGGTAAATGGAGTGGGGGATATTGATCAGTGTGTAGATGAATGATGTGACAGCAAATCTTGGTCTGAGAGACACTATTATCCTATATTATCCTGAATTTATCCTATAATTGTTCGGAGCCTGAAAGCAACGCAATGACATTGAAAGCTTATAGTGCCAACCCAGCAAATGATATAGAAAAATATCATTAAATATTATTGTGCAATTTGGATTTTTTCTTCAACAGATCAATGAATATGTTCCTGATTGTATACTTGTGCATATTGATTAGTAAAGCTTTGATAACTACAATCCTGAAATACTTGTGGCAAAGTGACTCTGTTCGGGATGAGCCTTGGTTTAACATAAAAACACAAGCAGAACGGCAAAGAAATAAGGTAAGTAAGAGCATTATGATGCTATAGGCCTTTTTATAAATCCTTCTGGAATTTAGGGACAACCTGAATACTTTCAGCATGATGGACATCACTCTCATCCTTTCAAAGTCTTCAGCCTCACCACAATCCCTCCATTTCACTTCTTTCAGAATTTTATAAGGTGTTCTGATCCCCACCCAATGGGCCAATGGGAGATACCTCACCAGGCACAGAACGGCTGCCTTACAGCCTTTTAATGTCCACTTGGCTAATAGTAAATTAGACACTGTCCACACTTGGGGCATAAAGAGACAGTCTCTGCTGTGTCATGACTTGGTCATTGTTTGTGGGTATTGGTGAGTGCCAAACTAACAGGCCTGGTGAATGGAGTTGGGCTAAGGATCTTTCTTTCATGAGATGTGGGTATTGCTGATTAGGCCAGATTTTATTGCCCTTGAGAAGGTGGTGGTGAAGTCCTTTATTCAAGTTCCGCCATCTTGTTAGGCTGAGAGTTCCAGGATTTTGACAGAACGGCAGTGAAGGAACAACAATATATTTCTAAGTCAGGATGGTTTGCAGTTTGGAGAGGAATGTGGTGATGGTGTTCCCATGTATCTGTTGCCCTTGTCCTTCCAAGCAGTGATGGTCACAGGTTTGGAAGCTGTGAGAGGAAACTTGGTGCGTTACTGCAGCGCAGCTTGTAGATGGTCCACATTGCTGCCGCTGTGCGTAGACGGAGGTGGTGCTGTTGTGGTAATGTCACTGGCTTCCGAATTCAGAATCCCAGGCTAACGTTCAGAAGTTGTGGGTTTGAATTCAATGAAAAAAATCTGGAAGTAAAAACTAGTCTGATGGTGACCATGTGATCATTGTTGAATGTTGTATAAACTGATCTTATCAGTAGTGTCCTTTATGAAAGGAAATCTTCCATCCTTACCTGGTCTGGCATGTAGGGGACTCCAAACTCAGTGCAGTGTGGTTGACTCTTAACTGCCCTCTGAAATGGGACAGCAAACCACACAGTTCAAGGAGAATTCAGGATGGGTCATTAATGGTTAATGGCTGTCATCTCTCATGAAGAAATATTTTTTTCAAAGATGGTGGGAGAGTGAATTTGAAAGTAGTGGATGTGATGCCAATTAACTGGTCTGGAAGGTGTTGAGTTTCTTAACTGTTGTTGGAGCTGCACTCATCAAAGCCAATAGTGAGTATACCATCACACTTTTGACTTGAACCTTATGGATAGATTTTGGGGAATCAGGAGATGAGTTACTCACCTCAGAATTCACAACCACCGATTTGCTGTTCTAGTTCTGTTTCTGGTCAGTGGTAGCCTCCAGGAACATTAATGGGATTCAGTAATGGTAATGCTGTTAAATGTCAAAGGGACATAATTGGATTCTGTCTTATTACAGATGAAGAATGCCTGGTGCTGGCATGGCCCAAATGTAATTGGCCACTTATCAGCCCAAACCTGAATGTTGTCCAAGTTTTGCTGCATATGGGCTCCTTCCATTATCTGAGACATAGCAAATTATGTTAACCATTGTGTAGTCATCATTGAAAATCCCCAGTTCTAACCATCGAAACAGCTGAAAATGGTTGGTCCTAGGCCACTACCCTGAGGAACTCCTGCAGAGATGTCCTGTAGTTGATGTGACTGACCCCCCATAACTATTGTCCTTGTGCTCGGTATATCTCCAACCAGTGGAGAGTTTTCCACAGATTCCCATTGACTAGTTTTGAGAGGGTGCCTTGATGCCGTACATGGTCAAATTTGGATTTCTCCTCTTTCTTATACAGAGGACATACCTGGGCAATCTTCCACATCGTCAGGTAGATGGCAGTGTTGTAGCTGAAATGAAAAGATTTGGCTGGCGTGCAGCTAATTATGGAGCAGTGACCTATTGCTACAAAGTACTATTACTGGAATATTGTCAGGGCCTACAGCCTTTCAGAGCCCATGGCAGGAGGGAACACTTCGGATGGGTCCAGTGGGCCCATTGAGAAGAGTCATCATACCCTGTCAGCCACACCCACCTCCACCCTCCTAACTGAGTACATTGCATAGAGATCGTCTGGCACTGGTTAAATCCTGGCAGTGCCAGAAACCCTTTGGTGAGCAGTAATTACTGGTAAATTTGTGGTGGGAGCTTTAGCGGCCGGTTCGGTGATGGCTAAACTGCCAACCTGATTAACAATTGCTCCTACCCAACATCCAACTGGCCCAAACCCGCCTAAATATGCAGTAATGCCTTGTTCTACATCTTATGAACAGATGTTTAAAACTATATATACTTTTATTGAATAGATTGAAAGGAGAGCAATTTCATGCTTTCAACTTTTCTTTCTGCTTTTTTTCTAGTTCCTGTCATCATTCACGGATTTTTTGGCTTTTATGGTCCTTTTCAATTATATCATCCCGGTCTCCATGTATGTCACTGTAGAAATGCAAAAGTTTCTTGGCTCCTATTTCATTTCTTGGGATGAGGAGATGTTTGACGATGAAATCTGCGAAGGGCCAATTGTCAACACGTCGGACCTGAATGAAGAGTTGGGGCAGGTTGGTCGATTCTGCCACCTAGGAGTGGAGATTCCAGTTTTGCTAAAACAGGCAGTAGGCCAGGATCTTGAGGGTGAGGGAGAGCTGGAATGGGGAGTGAGGGAGCAAGGGAGTCAGGTGAGCAGGAGTGGAGTAGTAGGCAGTGCAGAGCAATGAGGCAAGGTGGAGGATAAGAGTGGAAGGCGATGTGAAGGTAGAAGAGAGCCTGGATTGAGCAAGGAGTTCAGTTGAGGTGGGGGTTATGAATAGGAGTTGAAGGATTGGGTTTTGGTGGGGTATTGTTGGGGTATGTGAGGATGTTGGAATGAGGAAGAGGGGTTTGACTGCTGGGGGATGAGAAGGAATAGTAAGGTGAAACATTCAATTCAGGGGAGTGAGCGAAAGGGTCAATGAGTATGACAGAGCAAGAGGGTGCCATGTAAGCAAAGGAGTGTGGTTGGGAGGCACAGCTAGGGTGTAAGATAGAGAGGGGTTTGGTGATTGAGAGGTGTGGGAGGGGTTTGGCGATTGAGAGGTGTGGGAGGGGATGGGGTTCAGTGAATGTTCGGTAGCGTGTGAGCAAGACGGGTGTGGAGATGTGTGAGGGGTCTGTATGTGTGTGGGTGTGGGTGTCAGGGGCTGCAGCAAGGGCCAGTAATACTGTGAAGGTTGGAACAGCCCTGTTCCACTTGGAGAAATCTTTTAAAAACCTGTTTTGTGGCCTGATTATGGACTACAGAGTACACTTTGGCCATGTAATTCTGAACACAGCAGCATGACAAGCCAGTGGTCAGTCCAGCCCAGTTTCAGAGTTGGTTATTGGGTTCCTGAGGTACAGAGTGACACTGTGATTGACTGAGAGCTTAAGCGTAATCCCAATCCCCTCCACCCGTTCTGTGTTGATATGATCCATTCAACCTGTCAGTGCTGATGTGACCAGTCACCCTTTCACTGCACTATTCACCCAGCCATCCAGTCTGTGCCTGTGATCCACTAATCTAGTCCATTGGTTTACAAGTACTTGTTATACTTCTCGTGCTGAATTGTTTTGCTCGTTCTCATCTTGATAAATTATTTTTGCTAACAATTTTTTGTTTCTGTTATAGGTTGAATATGTTTTTACAGACAAAACAGGAACCCTGACTGAGAATAACATGGAGTTTATTGAGTGCTGCATCGATGGTCATGTCCATGTTCAGCACTCCATATCTAATGGCCAGAGCTTTTACAGCAATGCAGCGATCGATTTCATTGATGCCCCTACTGGAATAGCTGATCAGGCAAGGCTATGAAATGGAATCAAATTAGAAGAAAGTGTTGAGCTGTTGATTTCAGATTGTTTAGCAGGGTATTGATTTGCTGCAGTTAATTTGGATGAGATATTTATGTACAGGAATTGAGAAACCTTGGAGCAATCCATATGATCCTTTTGAGCTGCTGTGTCACTTAATAAGATCATGAACTGAACTCTACATTAACTCTACTTCCCTTCACTCAGATTTTTGGATGCTAGGAAATCAAAGGTTACTATCAGTCTCCTTCAATATACATTACAGCTCAGTCACAAAGACTTAATAGAAACAAACATGGGGAAATTGAACTTTAAATACACCTATTTAGCTGTGCAGCTGAAAGAAAGCACCAACACAGTTAGATGTCTGTTTTCTTTGACATCTGAGCAGAAATAGTGGAACTTGTGTTAGCTCTGTCAGTAGCAGACCAGGGACAGAAAAGGGACTATGATGTAAAATGTTCAAACCAACAAAACCTATCCAAACAGAATCTAACTTAATCAGATTATGACCCAGTCAGCATGCACGTATATGACACACAAGTCAGAAATCAATTGATCCTTTTGTCAATACTGTTTGCTGCTCTAATTTAGTTTGTCATTAAAGTACAGCACACGAAGTCTCCAGGGCAATTTGCCCTCTGCTAGCCAGCTGTCAAACTAAACCAAATGAATGGTTAACAATGAAACTTTAAACACTCCTATAGCACAGCCAAAAAGGAGGCAAATTAAGAAGTAACTTTCAAAAGGGAATTGGAGAAATACTTGAAAAAGAGAAATTGCTAGCATTATTGGGGAAAATCTAGAGAGTAGGACAAGTAGATAGCTCTGTTCAAAAACTGGTACAGGTACATTGGACCAAATGGCCTCCTTATGTGCTATAAATTCTGAGTTCAAGAGTCTGACAGAGTTACTGGGTGAGGTGGCTCAAAACTCAATCACGGATACTTTTGTCATATCCAGCGTGGTTTCCCACTGGAAGTTACAAATATAAAATGAAACACTACCCGGAAGGATTGTTGACCAAGTGTGGTTGGTAGATTGGTGCAGGGTGTGCTGGTGATAGGTCGTAATTGGCAGACTGATGCTAAGACGACTTGTGATCTGGTGTGACTGGGGGAAGGGGAGTATAGTGCCAGGCTGCGATAGGCTGGTTGTGCCTGGGTATGGGTGGAAGGGGGGTTGCTGCTTGTTGAGAAGGAATTAAGTGGAAGGTTTAGCAAAGAGTGTTCATAAACTCCAGCATTACTCCACCGTTCTGAGGAAGGGTCACCGGACCCGAAACATTAACTCTGTCTTCTCCTTCACAGATGCTGCCAGACCTGCTGAGCTTTTCCAGCAACTTTGTTTTTGTCCACCATTACTGCTCCCTGTTCGTTGTGGCATAAGTAATACAAGCTGAGGGGAGAATCGATTTTAATTTGAATTAATTGCAGTGCCAATAGAAATATGTAAGGCCACATTTAATTGTAGATTAGATCTATGGTAAAAATCTTTCTGGTTAGTAATGCAGCAAGTAAGAAAGCATTTAAGCTTAGCCATGTCATCATTAATTGTGTTACTTCTAGGAAAGAAAGGAGCTGTTTTTCCGTGCACTGTGCCTTTGCCACACAGTCCAAGTTAAGAGAGAAGACGAGACTGATTATCAGAAGCAACACCAAGATGGGAGATCCTCAGTTTACATTTCCTCTTCACCAGATGAGATTGCTCTGGTTGAAGGTGTAAAGAGGTACTAAAACAATTTGAAATGATTTAAATGAATTTGAAATGATTTCTAAATGATTTTAGAACAATGGAGTAAGCTCCACAGTCTATTTTCACTTCTGGATAGTGATACATTATTCAGCAGGTCCCTTATTGCAATTACATAAAACAAAGCTTCATCTCTGAGTATCTGCACTCAGGTTATCAAAAGCAATAACAAAAGCTACTTTTACTTTTTGTGTTTGATACTATTAAGACAGATTGTGTTCACTTTCATCCCTTCAGTCAAAGTTGGATTTGTCAAAATGTTTGCCCCATTGGCCACCTCTCAGTAAACATTTGACCATCACACCAGCCAAAACCTGTTTATGTTATGTACACACTGGACCAATAATGAGATACTTAGCATCCAGAGAAATCCAAGTCCTGAAAGAACATAGGAAATAAGAGCAGGAGTAGGTCATTCGGCCCTTTGATCCTAATCTGTCTTTCGACTAGATCATGGCTGATCTTCTGCCTCAACACAGTGCAGAAATTCACCAAGTCTCCTTAGACAGCGTCTTCCAAAGCCATGACCACTACTAAATTGAAGAACAAGAGCAGTATATACATGGGAACACCACTACCACCTGCAAGTCCACTCCCTTCACCCCCCCACCAAAGCTGCTCACTGTCCTGACTTGTTAACGTATCAGGGTTCCTTCATTGGTGCTTGATCCAAGTCCTGGAATTCCCTCCGTAATGGCATTATGGATCTACCTACAGTCATGGACTGCAGCAGTTCAAAAAGACAGCTCACCGTTGCCTTCTGAAGGGCAACTAGGGATGGCAACAAATGCCACCTCAGCCAATGGCACCCACATTCCCTTATTTTAAAAATTCCCACACTATCCCTTGATGTCTTTAGTATCTAGAAGTCTGTTGATCTCTGTCTTCAGCATACTTGATGATCGAGCCTTCACAGCCTTCTGGTATAGAGACTTCCTAGGATTCATCACAGTCTGAGTGAAGAAGTTCCTTTTTATCTCAGTGCTAAATGATCTACCCATTATTCTGAGACTATTCACCCAGGTTCTAGTGTGCCTTCGTTGCACTCCCTTTATGGCAAGTATGTTGTTCCTTAAATTACGAGACCAAAGCTCTGCATAATACTCCAGATGCAGTATCAACATGCTCTATGTATTTGCAGCAAGATATCTTTACTCCTGTGCTGAAATCCTGTGTCAATAAAGGTCATTTACTTTCTAAATTGCTTGTGCATCTACATGTCAGCTTTCAATAATTCATGTGCAAGGAGATCCAGGTTCCTTTAGACAACAATGCCTCACAATTATCGCCATTTAAGATAATCTCTGCCATTCTGTTTTTTTGTTTTCCTGGCAAAGTGGTTAACTTGAGATAACAAGGTGTAGAGTTGGATGAACACAGCAGGCCAAGCAGCATCAGAGGAGCAGGAAGGCTGACATTTCGGGCCTAGTCCCTTCTTCAGAAATTTTCTGAATTGTCAGCCTTCCTGCTCCTCTGATGCTGCTTGGCTTGCTGTGTTCATCCAGCTCTACACCTTGTTATCTCAGATTCTCCAGCATCTGCAGTTCCTACTATCTCTGAAACAAAGTGGTTAACTTCACGTTTTTCAACATTACATCCCACCTGCCAAAAACCTATTCTTTGTCCTGAACAAATTCTAGCTATGAATGAGTCTGCACGAAGTTAATGAACTTTTGGATTTCCTAATTGAGCTATTTTCTCCTTAAGCTGTCTGTGAGTACAAACAAATGAGAGTTATTTTTCAGCAGTCATGAGTTGCAAGACACCATAACTGCTATTGCTTGTCAAATATGCAGGAACTGTGTACTTAAGAATGACCTTTCCCCAGTGTGCACTCAAACCCTGAAACTAACTTTCAAACTAGAGCAATCAAGCTACTTCTCCAACTGTGCTACCTCTGCAAGAAGTGTTTAGTCAAAGGAACCAATTTCAGGTTCATTTTAAAGGTCTGATCTGAGATCCAGACATAATATTTTTATTGTGGTTAGTGTGATCATGCTATATGCTTCATTTCCTTAAATTACAACACAACCAAAACTTCAAAGAAAATTGCAATGACTGAGAAGCCCTTTTCATTTCTGATATGTGAAAATCATGTGGTTAGTTGACATCCTTTCGTGTGAGAGAAATGATGAGGATGCAATGTTAGAATGTTATTGAGGTCCAATAAGGTCACCTGCATTTTTGATGGCTGAAAGGACAAAGTTTGCCTCAAATGCCACACATAAAGTAGTCCCTTGTGGGTGGCGCAGGAATATTACTACTGCCATGTTTGCAGGACTGCATTTGCTTTGAAGATTCTGAAACCACGTACTGCTGCACTGGTGAATTTTTACCCGTCATTTGCATCAACCTTTGGCTACAGTTTCCCACTTGTCATGAATCAGAGTTGTGGACATCCTGCTCCTATCTGGACAAGGGCAACTTCCTTTAGAAATGCATCCATTATCTGTCTGGTGTATATGCCTAAAGCAGCAAAATCTCGATTAGCACTAGTTTTCTAAACACGTTTTCCAAGGAAAGATCAACGTTATTGATGACTTTGTTTTCTGTGTGAAGTCAAGGCTGTGTCATAAACATTGGAAATGGGAATTAGTAAGTACTTCAATCTTGGTAAATGGAAGTTGTCTAGGCTTTGCTGCTACACAGCAGTGTATGAGTGAAGTATCCTCTCCAATTGCTTTCTGGCTGCATAGCCTGGAGAGGATTAGAGACTATTCCAGAACTTGCACCTCTCTCTCAGTTTTTAAGTGAATCCGGAAGCTCATCTTTGGAGTCCATACAGTTACACCAATGACCGGATGCTAACTGTTAAAGGAATCACCAACTGCCAATAAGACTGCACTCCAGTGCCTTTGACTCTCCTGAGCCACTATTTTAGTTGCCACAAGCAACTATTTTATCTCAACCTGGGACCTGGTTGATGGATGGCAGAGCATGTTTCCCATGCCGGTGGGTCTATATTTCACATGTTTGGGTATATCACATCCCCAAGAGCCAGGGTTCCTCCGAGATCCCGTACAGTTCAACGTGAGGCCAAAGGATGCTTCATTGCTGCGTCGCGGTGAAAAGTGGGATTTACGGGTGGGGAAGTTCTAGGAGATGCAGAAGATGTACACTGGCAGGAGAGATTTATGCATGCAGCTCCCTCTTCTTAGTAAGCAAGTCCGCAGTGGTGCATTATGCAACTGCCTTTGATGGACACCATCATCCTGTGACAAAATTACTGACGCCCAGGTGATATACCAATACAAGTTCATTAGTTCATCTTCGTCTAAATGTATACCAGACCATGTGGTTGGCTAGATTCAGATTTATTTCCTTGGAGGACATTAGCAAATGCAGTGTTGAATGCTGTAGTGATTTGACATGTTTTGTGATAATTTTGTTATGTCAGCCTCAATTATCAGATTTATTGAATTGAACTTCGCAACTTGCTGCAGAGAAATTTGAAATTGAGCCATCGATCTTGTACTACAGCCTTATCCTAACTGAACAGCAGTGTAGTTTTTCTGTTTATGTACGCAAGCTTTGTTTACAGGAATGCTGAACACAAAATGCCTGATGTAAAGCCGCATATGATTCTATGCCGTCCACCCACTCATCTGTGCAATGCACCTCCCAAACTCTTCAAGTTTTTTTCACACCTTGAGATTAATTGTAGTGATTGAGTTTTTCTTCATGAGTTGTCTTAACTGGATAATTGTGGTTATATTTCAATACAAAGTACTGATTTAAAAAAAAGTTGAAATGAGATTTGTAGGTTTGTAGCTGCAACAGCTTATTAATTATGTTTAGCGGATTTTAACATTCCTAAAGTTAATAGAATAAGATGGAGATTTTTGTTAAAAATGGGAGGCTGTATATCAGACACCAAACAAGGAAGAATATTGCATTATGTTTGGCAGTTTTCTGATTATGAGGGCTTTTTCCTTTTTTGAAGGCAGCACCAAGTTGGACATTCCTGAGTGAGAAAATTAGCAGGTATTTGAGGGAGCTGAAAAATTAGAAAAATTGGCCTGTTGGTATGTCGTGTCACTGGACCGGAAACCTTAACTCTGCTTTCTCTCCACAGAAGCTGCCAGACCTGCTGAGTTTTTCCCACAATTTGTGTTATTGTTTCTGACTTCCAGCATCTGCAGCTCTTTGTTTTTCTTTAATGACGTCAGCATGGCTGATATTAGCCTGACATTAGCTCTGTCGATAGAAGTGACTCCAACCTTCTGGTTTCTTGCCATTTCAACAAACAACCTTCCTCTCAGGCAGGTAGTTCCATCCTGGCCCTGCTGTAATATTTCAACCAGACCCAACACAAGCTTAAGGAAAAACACGTCATTTTCTATTCAGCCACTTTACAGCCTCCAGGACAAAGAATGAATTTCATAATTTAAGAGCCTGACCACATTATTAAACAAAAATGGAAATAGCTGGAGGAACTCAGCAGGTCTAGCAGCACCTGAGGAGAGAAAGCCACCTCAGTGTTTTGGGTCCAGTGACCCTTCTTCAGAACCTGACCACATTATATCTGTTCTCGATTTTTCTTACATTCTCTCCACACTCTCCTCCCTGCCTCCTCCCCACCCATTTGTGATTTGTTTACATTAATTTCAGCAGAGAGGACCCATTTTCTCCATTCCACACCTTAATTTACAGCCATTTCACATGTCTCTTTCTCTTTCACCATGATTATTAATCCCATTATCTTTTGCAGTGGGCCTGCACAACATCTGTTCTCCTGGCCCCTCCTCTGCCTCTGTCAGAACTATGAAAAACACCATTTTCCAACCCCTTTTAGTTCTTAAGAAGAGCCATACTGAACTGAAAATGTTAACTCTGTTCAGATGCTGCCAGACCTGCTGAGTTTCCCCAATATTTTCTGAATTTGTATGACATTAGCCTATTTTCGGAAGCAGATTGCATGAGATTGTTCAAACCTAGTTACCCAAACAGATGTTGACATGTATAAAGGTCCATTCTCCGCCTTCTTCCTCTGTGCATTGCTGTATTGTTGGCCATTGCATGTTTGTGATTTCATGGGACACACAAGGTTCCAATTTAATGATATGAGGATATATATAGTTTCAGAGATAGTAGGAACTGCAGATGCTGGAGAATCTGAGATAACAAGGTGTAGAGCTGGATGAACACAGCAGGCCAAGCAGCATCAGAAGAGCAGGAAGGCTGACATTTCGGGCCTAGACCCTTCTTCAGAAAAAGCTCTACACCTTGTAATCTGAGGATATATATTGTTTAAATTACTGTGAGATACTTCCCCATGCCAAAAAAGAAACTGAAGAGTGCACCTCTGTTTTGTTACAAAACACAGGATAGGTTTTGGTTGTTTAAAAATTTTTGAGTTGCAGCTGCAATGGTAGTGCAGTACTTATTGCCTATTCCTGGTTATCCTGTAAGAGATTAAGAGTCAACTATATAGTGTTGACCTGGAGTCATGTGTAGGCCAGACTGGAGAAAGGCAGCAAGTTTCCCTCCTGAAGCAAGCCAGTCAATCAGTTGGGCTTTTGCAATGATCATTAGGTTTAGAGTCACTCGACCTTCTAAGTTTCCACAGATTATTAGATATCTGAAATTCGATTCTGACTGCAATTAGCTAGTCCCAGACGGTAATCAGTGTATTACTGGATCATATTGGATTGATACAGTGTACAAGGTAGCCAAATTATTTCTTGTGCTGAATGGTTTGTGGTTTTATTTGCCTTTTCTTGTTCACAGACTTGGCTTCACATTCCTGCAAGTAAAAGACAATTTTATGGAACTTGAGAACCCAGAGGCTGAAATTGAAAGGCAAGTATGTGTTTACTCAAAGGTAACTAGGGTGCAAATGCTGCCCTTGCTAGTGATCCGCTCATCTCATAAAGTGCCAGAAAAAAAATCACAATGACGATTTTAATATCAGTTTTTAACTAAGCGTTTTTTACTTTCACTCTGACTTATTCTGCCGGTCCATGGACCTCATTTCTTAGTGATCATCCTAAAAATTCAACTAAAGTTTGTATGTGGAATATTCAGGAGCTGTTGTTGAAAGTTCCATAGATGCCACAAGCCTCAATTCACTGAGCCCTCTGGAATATATGCTACTCAAGTACCGAGTCTCGACAGTCAACCTGTAAATGTGCTGACGCTGTCGGAAGTGGAATGGTTCCCCGCATTAGCAGCCAGTTCTCAGCCTACCACATTCTGTTCTGCATGACCTTCATTACAAAGCATAGCAGCATTTGAGATACGAGATATCCTGTTTACTTCTGCAGCTAATCAGAGCCTGGGATTATATAATTAAATTTTGATTAATCATGAGGAATGAACTTTAATAGTTTGTTTGTCATGTTTATTAAGTATTGCCTTACCATTGGGACATTTACCTGCTATGCTCTTGAACCTTTTTTTATAGTATCCCATGAACTATGCTTCATATGATGATTAGTGGTTTTACTCTTTACATTTTGGCTATGGTAGATAGAGCTGTAACCTGGCAGGTGCAGAGAGAACAGGTTATGTTTCAGATTCCTTTTCTTTCACCTCCTGGATTTGCGAGATGCAGTGTTGTACCTGATACATCTGCTCTATTGTCTCAGCAGGATCTGAACTCCACATTTGCTCCAATCTGCCCTGAGGCTGTCTGTGCACAGCATGATGATTGGCAGTAACATCCTCCAAATGTCCCCATTATCACTTCCCCATTGCCAAAAGGCTTGTCACATCTGTTTTGGCTCATGAATAGGCTGAATGACTTGAACATTGAGAATATGCATGTGGTTGGAGTTTCTGCAGAGTCTTTCCCAATTCCTTGTCAAAGGCAGCTCATGTTCCACAGTGCAACACCTGCCACAATTATAGCAGCGAAAGGATGCTGGTTTATTACAGATTTGTCCTTCCCCAAGATGACCTGTTGAGCAGGATGAAGAACCTCATTAACTCTTGATATTGTCGTCCAGTACATTGGCACTATTTGCACTTCTAAACAGCAATGAAAGACCAGAGTACAGACCAGCCCTCATAGTCAGAACATTGAGCAGATACACTGTTGATATAGCCTCTTTATTCAAGACAAGGCTCACTGAGAAGTCTCAACTTGAGCAGGTTGGTGCAGGCTACATATTCTACCAACCTTAACAATCAGCCATGGGCTGTGAAATTCAATTTGAACTGGCACACAAGCATGACTCCCTTTCCATGAGAATCCAGGATCATCTCATGGTTCTCCATTTACACTTTTTCGGTCACTCCTCATGATTTTTACTACCTCTATTAAATCTCCCCTCAACATTCTCACCTCCAAGGACAACAGTGCCTACCTCCTCAGTCTATTGACAGGTGAAGTACTGAAGTATGCATTAAAGCAGACCTGATTAGAAAAATTGAGCAAGTAAATGTATGGTTATTAATAATGAGTCATATTACAGCTGCCCGTCCCACTCCTAATCAGCTACTCTCATAAGTTCTTAATGCTAACAGGACAAGTGGATTCTATTTATGATAAAGCTACTGAAAGGAGTCAATTCATGGATTGTGCCCTCATGCTTTCAAACCAGTTCTTGGGAATAAATTTAGAGTATAGAGTACTTAGTCTAATGAGTCATTTGCTTAAAAATCTGCTGAAAGTAATTGTTCTTAAAAGTAAGAATATAATTAAAAACAAGTCAGTGAAACACCAAATGGCCTTAAATCTAGTTATCTGTTAATGATAGATCTGTGAGATGGATGAAGAAGTGTACAAATGTTTGATAGACTTAGTCAAATGCTTTTTTAATGTGCATCTTTGCAACCTAACAGGTCTACGTTATCACCAAGACTTTTGGGAGGATCTAACGTTAGGTTTGACTCCCATGAGATACTCTCCCACCAAGTTCTCGTGGTATGATCACAGTGGGTGGTGCTTATTACACAGTCCTATATTAACCCTTTCCATCCTTCCAGATTGATATAGAACTCACTGAAGCAATATTTAGAATAATCAAACATCTTTAAGGGATACATTTGGGTGGTAGAACCATAAACAAGCTTAGACAGATAGATGACACTTGCTAATTAGCTGAGGCAATATAGCAATTACAGTGAAGTTTAGATGAAGTTAGCAATACTGATAAACCACTTATTATGAGAATGCATGCTATAAAGACCAAAATTATGATAATTAGTAAGAAATCTACAAAACCAAAGATCACAATCTTATTTGTATGTAGAATAAGTAGGCAGATTTTGTACATGGTTCAGATTATTACAGAAGATCTAGATAAGACACTGAAATTATCAGAAGAATTGAAGTCATTAGATGCTTTTGATAAAACGAATTCAATTCTAATAATATAGAATAGGCATGCGTTCAAGAAGATGTTTGCTCAACTAATATGTCTGGTCAATGCATCTTGATGCATGTAAAACATGTATAGTATGTACCTAACTACACATAAAACTGGAAGTCTTTGAAATGTAGACATACGGGAAATGTTCAGAATATCCTCAGAAGAATGAAAAAACCATGTGAGTGTTTGAGAAGTAAACCCAGGAGAGGCATGATAGACCTCATCAAGAGTTGTAAATTGAGGTATTTAGGCTATCTGGTAAAGTGCAACAAAAAAAACACAGCGCACTGCTTTGAAGGCGTGCTTCAGTGGTCAGAGCAGCCAAGCAAGTGCAAGAGTTATTTTGGACAAGTAACATCAAAAAAAGCGCATACATGAGCTATCAAATGAGGTCAGCTTATAGTAGAAGAGATGGATATAATTTTGTATCTAACCCACAGGAAGAGGGAAGGAACCTGAAAACAAAAGAGGCAGCATTTCAGTGAACTGGAAATGTAGATATATTTTCTGTCAGTGTGTGAGAAGTACATTGCTGTTAAATTCACATCTCTTCATTCTTTTCCAGATATGAATTACTCCAAATATTGAATTTTGACTCAGTGAGACGCCGTATGAGTGTCATTGTTAGATCCGTAACAGGTGCGTGTGACCTACTGGCTGGGAGTGGATCTGGTGTTTGTATATTCAATGTCCGTATGCATGTCTGAGATGAAGATGCTTGTAATTAAACAAGATATAGCTGAGTGTGGTTGGAAGAGATGCAGGTAATGCAATTGGATCACAGTGTGAATGTGGGTGGTATTGCATGTGATTTGTGAGTGTGAGAGTGGGATTGGATCAGGTTAGTGTGTATGATGGGATTGAATCCACTATGAGTGTGAGAATGGGATTTCATCAGGCAAAGTTTAGGATATTTGGTTCAGAAAGACAAAGTTCTAAGTTTGTGCTGTCCTATGAAAAAAATGTGCTTTCTTCTGCCAATTTGTCTTCTAGTGCAGGATCGGTGCTTCTGAGGCAAAATTTATCGTGCATGGGCTGTGTTTACATGTCATTCAACTATCTTATAATATTTCATTAACATACACTTTTTCATCTCTTAAATAGGAGAAATAATCTTGTTCTGTAAAGGAGCTGATTTATCCATTTTCCCCAGAGTGAAGGCAGGGAAGTTGGACCTGGTCAGACAAAGAGTTCAGCAAAATGCAGTGGTATGTTGAGGCAGTTTTGAATGTTGACTTCAGTCTTTTTTAACATGGTTCCTAATGTCTCCATATTTTCTCTGCCTTAAATCTTGAAACTATTCTATAGGTTTAAATGGTATGTATTGAAGAAAAGAATGATTGATTAATGCAAATTTGTCTCCATGAGGCTGTCAATTGATAATTTTGTTTTGAAGTGGTGGTAATCCACATATGGCCTAGACAGCTGTACTCTTAAAGGTTATTTTATGTATTTGTTTGGACTCCAGGGATTCATTCCTAGACCAGCAGGTTCCAGCTTTTAATCACTGGTACTGTGAAGGACACCAATGTAAATGCACAATGCTCAGTCTATCTCTAACTCAAAGTCTCCTCTGATA